GTTTGTCCAAGTAATATTGGTAAGCACGGAAGGGCTTTAGTTCCCATGGCACCTGATCTTCCATGTGTGTCAATGTCACACCCAAGTCTTCCAAAGTAGGCACACCTGGCTCAGGTTTATCTGTAGTTGATTCCTGTAATTAACAGAATGTGGTCTAAGCTAAATATGAACTATTTGATTTATACCCTTGTTTGTATGTCCTAGATGTATGGGCTATGGAGCATGTGATTCCATAAGAAATTTGTATTGCAAATAAAGATTACCTTTTCCAAACCTTCCCAGTGCAGTCCACCAAAGGGGTAAGCGGGTGAGAGCATGTTGGCTGCGGCCACACGGAGTGAGAAGAATATCGGATCATACTTCATGTCGTACCGCCTGTAGCCGGCTCTGTCCTTACGCATTAACTTGTAGAACCAGTCAATGAGGTCAGCCAGAAGGTACCTTTTAGGCCTAAAGGAAAATTATAATGAAAAATCAAATTTGTTAAAATGTACAGTTGCGGAAATTCGTGGTGTTCCAGTTAAGGAAAAATTGTCTTGTGCTCTCTCTTCTAACAAATAATGAGGTGCGCAAATGACGTAATAATAAAAATGAATTAGCTTTATACTAACCCACTGTATTTAGTACCGGCACATTTAAGGTGTCATCCTATTTGTTATAGCTCTATGTCATTTCAAACCATATTAAACGTTTAAATGATGCTTGTAAGGTTTAAACACCACCAGATTCCCTGATTGTACAAAAGATAGTTTTGGGTCAAAAGTTGACAGTATGTAGTACTCTTACCCAATAGCTTGGTATATTTGGCAACGGGTATCAGGGTCGCGAGCAGCGTTCACAATGCCCTGAGCCACGTCGGAAACATAGACAGGCTGTTTAATAGTCTCCTTGCCATTCTTATACACAGGCACAAGGTTACCATGAGACCTCCAGCTTGTTGCTAAAGATCTGCAAATAATTTTTAAAAGGATTTTCGCCTTAAGAATATTTATTCCTTATTTAAATATCTGTGGATTTAAACTAACTTTAAACATTACCTAAGGAATCTATCTTCAGAACCATAAATATCGGAAGCGCGAATTATAGTTGCTGTTGGAAATTCTTCCCTGACTGCACATTCACCTAAATACTTGCTTATCTTAAACATTGATGGTTTCTTCAGTAACAATGGCTTAGGATTGCTTTCTGCATTCAAATAAGAGAGATGGATGAATCTCTCAACACACATTTCACGGCATATTCTGAATAAAAAAATGCAATTGATTACTTTATTACATTAGATTTATTATTTCATTAGGTTATTTTAAAAACCTGTTCTATACCAAATAATTAGCAAAGATTTTTAGATACATCTTAAAAATTTGAGAAAAATGTCATCCAACACTTTTCTAACAAGCTTCAATGATGACCAGCAGTAAGCAATCACTTACGAAGTTATTGATTAATAATTTGCTTTATCTTATGATTCTGTTTTAAGCAATGGTGTTTATATACCTGGCAAGGCGCCTGGCCCCATCTACATGCACATCCGTGTAAGAGAAGTTCTTAGTTTCATAATCACGTCCCACAAGGTTGATCACAACATTTGAGTACTTTACAGCTTTAGCAATAGACTCCTCATCACGTAGGTCAAAGGGTGTAAAGAGCACTTGACCAAGGTCTCCAGCCACTTTGAGTCGGTTGGCATCATAGAAATCACTCCTGTATGGTAATATCATCTGTAATATAATAAGGAATAATGATTACCATTTTTTTTTACCAGATTAAATATACATTAAAAAATCCAAGAAAACAATAATTAGTTTTATCTGAATATAACATCAATGAAGAAACCATAAGTGCAACTATTAAAAACAACCAATAAATGAAAGATAAATCACATTATTAATTAGTTGTTGTTAAACTTTGAAAACCAAACATCACAAAATTAAAGCAAAGCATACTGATTTGAATTTTTGTCTTGATAAAAATTCAACTTACTTGAGTACCTATCTTGCCAAGTTTGTTGCACACATATCTTCCCACGAACCCAGTACAACCGAAGACAGTGGCCACGATTCCATTAAAACTACTGCGGCCACCGGTTCCTCGCTTGTAAGCAGCGATGTTAGTCTTACCTTCGGTACTGTACGATGCTGACTTGATGTAAATAATACTCAAAGCACCATGTTTTGCTAGAAAATAACTCTGCGCACTTATAATATTCGTTAAGGTCAATAAACTATTTCAAAATACATTTTGTTAACAATTATGTAAGACTTGTTTTCTAGGGTTTATATTTCACCAAATACAGAAGATATACTTACGTATTATTTTAGTGGCAAAATGCCCGGATAAGGCTACTGCAGCCATTTTCAGGCTGTATTTCGTTTATTTATATGAAATACAATACAATATCCTTAATTTTTGCTGCAAATCCAGCACGGAGATATTGTATTATTTGACATATGAAAACAGATGTTGAAAATGTAATGATTAATAGTGATGGATGTCGTTAAAATAACGTCATTTTTTTCACTATAACGTGTTTAACTATTCCACTTTGACATTTAATACTGCAAAGATAACTGGAAAATACAGCTTAAGCCATATTTTGAGTCTTGTTAAACAGTTTAATTAGACTAGGTTAATTTTTAAATTTTCGTGAAATGCTCAAAAAACTATGTTTTAGTTGATCTGCTTGCTATTTTATAGTTGTTATTGCGCCCACACTATACTCTTCTTGATTTCAATAAGATTTGATTTTAAGTTAAAAATCACGAAAAGATGTAAACAAAGAAGTTGTTGCAAATAGCGTAATAAATAACTTAGATTTTTCTATGCCAACAAGGTAGTAGAATAGAAACTTAAGTTATTTTTAGAGTTATTTTTGGATAATTTTCAAACACTAACTTTAATTGTCATTGTCATTGTGACTTTGACACTAGTATTTCTTGTATTTTGCATTGGTGATTGGGGTAATTTTTGTTATGTCCTCCTAAAATAAAAACCCAGATTGACTCAAGAAACGATTTAATTCGTAATTTTGGATCTAAAAATATGTTCGTGAGTGTCAATTAATTAAATTCGGGGTAATCAGATAAGTACAGATTGTAGCGACAAAGAAGTCTATTAGATTGATTATAAATCAAAATGAACGAAGAAGAAATTAAAGTTTTATCTAGCGGTGATAAATCAGGTGTACTTCAAATTTTAGAGAAATTCTTGAAAGATGTAAGTTAACGTTACAACAATTTGTGCGTATTGCAATATTAGAAACAATAACTAGAACATTTGTTTCAGAATGAAAATGTTTTTACATTTCCCAATTTATCAGTGAACAATAATAGAGTATCCTTGTGGGCAGCTTTATTTCAACTCATTCAAGACCAATCTTTGGAGACTGTACATGCAATGTGTTTGTCAGCTCTAAGGATATTGAGGTGCACAAGTTTATATAAAAGTTGTTATTTATGTTCAATCTACCTAAAATTGTGTTGTTAAAATTATATTAGCCACATTCACAAATTTGGCTGAAGACTTCCCTTCCTATTATCATCAACTTCATCCCTTATTCATCTGCTCAGTACTAACAGTTAATATTGGACATCAAAAATCTATTGACAATCCTTCTGTGCATGAGTAATATCTATCAAATTTCACTTTTATTAATGGTAGTATAGTATACTTTAAATTTTTTAAACAGAACCCTTAAAAATCATTATTTTTTACTAGTTTTAAATTTTACATTTCAGTCGGGATAAACTAGAAGTTGATGCAGTAGTTTGTGAAAAGTGGATAATAATATTAATAGAAAAAGCTGGTCTATTTAATTTTCTACATATAGATGATGAATCAAAGCCAGTAGAGATAATACCGAAGAAGGAAGAGGCTATCGAAGCTTTAAAATGCTTATGTAATTTAGCACTGAATAGTGAGGTATCAAGAGCACTTTGTGCCCATACAGCTATCGCACAAGGCCTAGTAGCAAGACTGAGGTCTTATAAAGAGATACCTTATAAAGATGACATTATGCTATTTGATATGAAACTACTCTTCATACTAACAGCTTTAAGACAAGACATATCTGCGAAGATTAAAAATGAATTGCATGGAATGGACTATCTTATAAGTTGTTTGAATGAAATAATTACGGAAGCAACTGTTGATCCTGATGTTGCAGGTGCTTGTAGTGATGCAACCGGAGATAGCCACTGCTTCCTACAAGTAAATATAGCAAATTGTGAATGGAATATTTAACTGTGATTTTTACTAATGAAATAATTGGACATAATTCTCTTTTAGGACAATCAACAAGCGATTATATGTGAAATATTGAAAATACAGTTTAATCTAACATTACAAAATAGTTTGGATGACCAGGTGGATGAAGAGGAAGAGGCTATTTATTTAAGATTAATGCCAGTGCTTACAACACTGCTCAGTGCGCATGTGCTGTCCGAGCAGAAGTTACATGAGTTACGAAATAATATTGTTAATGTGCTAGTGAGGTAATGTTGAAGTACTTTCATCCTATACTGTTGAAAGCTTTACTTATAAAGCTTTTATACTTATAAAGTTGTAAATCCTAAAATAATATAATACTCTTAAAACTTTTTTTATGTTCCATTATTACATAAAAATTAAGAAATGTAGGCTCAACATAATTTTGATTAGATATTTAGGGATAAAATAAATTTATCAACCATAAGATATTTATCATTTTTCATATCTTCATATTATCATGATTATTTTTTTTTAGTGTGCCGTCAAAGTTTTATCCATACCTAACACCTGACTTCAATGAAGGAGAAAAACCGCAATATGTCTATGATACTAAAAATATGGAGTCCTTACAGTCACTCATACAATTCCTGTTACACCGTTTGACTATAACAACGGTAAGTTCACAACTGATGTTTTTATGACTACTTACTAATATTATAAATGCGAATGTTTGGATGGATGGACGTTTTTTACTGCATATCTCCAAATCAAAGGATCTCGATGTTTGACACAGATGGATATAGTCTGGTGAACACAATGGCTACTTGCACAGATATTTTAATTTTAAGTAATTAGAATTTAGGTTATTTACTATGAATAGATCTTGTATAAAATGAGAGAAATTTTAAACAAAACATTTATAATAAGTTTTTAAAATCTCAAAATTACTTTGTCAACTTATTCCCAGTTTGCAATTGGTAAACAATTTTTACTTCCAGAGTACAAATAATCAGAATGAATATTTGTGCCCGATATTAACCGTGCTAAATAAAAGTGCACGAAGTTGCCGGGCTCATCGTAAATACCTCAGACAAGAGGTACTGCCGCCATTGCGCGATGTATCTCGCCCTCCGGAGAAGGGATCCACGCTTCGCAACCAGTTGTGTAGATTGCTTACTACACCAATTACCGCTATCAGAGATCTGGTCGCCGAGTTTTTATTCATTCTGTGCAAGGAGAAAGGTCAGATAATCTAATTATTATATTGTTATAGGTATTATAATTCGATTGTGAAATTCTAAATGGTCTTTTCTGTTTTTTCTTTTAATTTTATATCAAGTGTGACATGAGATTAGTCCAACCTGATATTAAATTGTATGAAATATGATGCTAGTTTAGTATTCCGTTCGCTTTCTGCTAAATAGTGAAACGAATTTTAAACAGTTCGCTTTGTAAGCGCCGTTTACAAACTGACAGACGTTAAAAATTAATGGTATTTGAAGTTTAAGACACTTTTATACATTTAATTGTCGATTTAGTATTCGGACGTTTGTTTTTAAAATTCAATTGGATCTTGTCCAATTTTTTAAATTAATAATTCAATAGATTGAAAAGGTTATTGGTAATTTTAGTTGGACGTATGGTGAAATATACTGGTTTTGGGAACGCGGCGGGTCATTTGGCGCAGAAGGGCCTGTTGTCTGGTGGTCGAGGCCCCGTCGTGTATTCATCAAGCAGCGAGGACTCCGATACCGAGGAGTACTTAGAGGCTCAGCCCCACATCGACCCCGTGGTGGGGTGCACGCGCCCCCCTCGCGTCAACCCTTTTGAAGGCATGACGGAAGAACAAGTAAGTTGCTCACGATCCTACGAAGTATTTGGCGAGTTATTCATACAATAATTCGCTTGGCAGTTGTATTTTAATTAGTAATAAATATGTAGTTCTAATTCACTGAAATCACTTATTTATTCCTTAATTAACATTGTAAGGTATCATATCGATTTTCGTCCTTTCGTCCAACGTTACCCTTCAAATGTCGTATTGAATTGAAACCTAATAAATACAGGACGTCCGAAAGTCAGAGACGAAGACAAATATGCAAACTTAATTAAAAATTAAATCCCATTGAATACAGGACGATGTAATTAATCGTCTCGAAAATTTTGTCCAAAATAAATTGAGAACACTAAGTTAAGTTTAAGTTAGATAAGAAATGGTTAATGGTTTTGATATTTAATAGGGTAATGTTGTAAACACATATAAGTAAGTGACCGCAAAAGTTAATACGATTTACGATCTGCACGGACATATGTACTCAGTGGACTAATTATACTAATTCTAGAGAAAATATACGGTTGTTTTTTTACTGATATTAAAAAAAGTTGATATTTTGACGTCACTTTGTAGAAAGAGTACGAGGCGATGAAGTTGGTGAATTTGTTCGACAAGATGGTGTCGAGGGGTGTAGTGAAGCCGGCGCGGGTGGGGCCCGACGGCCGGCCGCAGCCGCTCGAACACGTGCTGGATATGAGGGAACACCCGCCTAACAGACCACAGTCTTAAATATTTATACTCTATGTCACAGACTGTTTCCGTTACATGCATTAAATAATAAAAAACTTTATTTGATCTAACTTTCAATTGTAAATGTCAAAAAATCAAATGCACAAATAACGAAAGTTTTTGCTCTCAGCTAACTGTTACCGTTATCTTAGCATTTTTGATTATTTGCTATTGGCTTGTAGTTTTTGTGTCTTTGCCGGGCATTTTTTTTTTCAATTCATTCACCCTTAAAATTCAATAGCCTATTTGTCGTAAAAATATGCTGTGATTTCTGACATTCTACATAACAAAGAAATGTGTGTTTACATATGTGTTTTTAATCTGTGTCATTTTTAATTATAAATATAGATTAGATAATATAACGAATGTAATTTTTAACGTTTGAAATAAAAATAAGGCACTTCTTATAATTAGTTTTTATTAATTTAAGAATATATTTTCTTGTAAGGATTACTAATATTAATTTGTGACTGTGTTATTAAATTATCTGTATTTGTGTAATTTTCAAAGACTTATTTCGATCAATAGAAATGTTTTCACTGATCGCTCAATTGTAAAATAAATGACGCATAAAATTCGACTATTCTTTATTTCCAAGCTCTGCCGTTTAAGTTTTTAAATAATTAAGTTTAACTGCCGTATTCAAGTTAATTGTATGCTAAGGGTATCCTTTAGCGAAGATTTATCAAGTAAAATGAACATGTGCTTGCAATCTTACTAATATATCAGTAAATGTAAAAATGTATCGTAAAATATATTCCACATATTTTTATGTTTATTTAAAAATAGATATTTCTGTTTTTAATACCAAAGATATCGTTTATTATTTTTTTGTTTTTCAATTTGTTTCAATAGCATAGAAGTATTACTTTAAAATGTGAAAAAAATACTTATATTATATTTACATCATTGATTTATTATTTTTCTTATAAATCGCACTAAATTTATCTAGTGTAAAGATTTTAACTGATAAAGCCTAAATTATCTTATAAAGCTTGTGTATTTTTAAAACATTTATCAATTAAAAATAGATAAATAGATCATCGGATTTTAAACCTATTTCGTAAAATTCGTAGTTGATGAATGATGTTTTCGGATATCTGTATTCTCTGCCTACACCACTGGGTGTATACGTGTGTTATGTACATATAATGATGTTTACCTGCTCTTGACTTTTATGTGTATTTCTAATTGTAATATTTTGGAATTGATATTCCTATACTTACTATAAACTTTTAAGTAAAATCTTTTAAAAATTAACAGTTGTTTACATTAACCCTATATAATCTCAACGACGCCCAAATTTAAGGAATTGTCTGTTGGTATCAGGAAATTTATCTTACTAAAATTACAAATGCGATGTTTAGATGGATGGATGGATGTTTGTTAGAGTTTGGAGCCTAAACTGCTGATCGGATCTTGATGAAATATGGCATAGATGTAGAGAATAATAAATAAAATAAATAAAAAAGCCTTTTATTTCCAGCAACTTAATAATTACATACATTACAATAGATACATTACAATGTTTCTTTTAAATGACTACTTAGACA